ACAGACAGACAGACGCAGACAAAAGAGAGACTCCAGGTCTTCAGAAAACGATGCCGTGGAGCAATGAACTGGCAGTGGAGGAGGAAATGTGGCTCGAGCCTGGGGCCTGGGGGGTGGGACGTGTGTGTGTATACCCTTACCACATCTCTTCTCACGTGACGCAGTCACGTCGTGTCTGTAATGTTAGTATTAGTATTATTATCCATCCACACAACGCCTCAGGTTTATCCCGCTCCCCCGCGCCCCTCCTAAGGGCTCGGCCGCACTCACCCTTAACTCCGCACCCCCCCCCCCTCCCGTACCCCCCATTATCTCCCCGGAGCCGCGCGCTAAGCCGGGGGAAGGGGGGAGGTGGAGGGCGACCTGTTGCTATAGCAACAGCATGATGCTGTCGCCCCCGCCACATTAAGCCCTCCCCCGCCCCCCTTCGCCCCCTCGGGCCACCGACCACCGCCGCCGCTGCCTGCTGCTTGTCGCGCTGAACCAGGTGCCCTGTCGTCCTGTCGCAGGAATTTCCAATTATTCCGCCAGTCGAGAGCTCCGTCATTAAAGTTATAGCCGCTGCCGCCTCATCCTCCCGGGAGGCGCGCGCGCGTGCAGCAGAGAGTGTGCAGTTTGAGGTGGCGCTGCTGTGAAGCGACACGATACGACTCGCTCAGCCCTTCCCCGGCATTCGTCCTCGAGTATGTATAGAACGTGCGGTGAGGGGAGAGGGGGGGGGCGGTTAGTGTTAAGTCGGGCAGGATGTCGACGAGGGGGAGGCCATGGGCAATAAAACAAGGGCAGAAGACAAAGGGAGCTTGCTGCTGCTCAGATGAGCCGCGGCGGCGCCTCCTTTGGGGCCGGCAGCAGCAGCTCTCGAATGGACCGGACGAGTGAGTGGGACGCTGATGCTGCCGTTTCTTATCTCATTCCTCTTATTTCTCTCTTATTTCATTTAATTTTCCCGCTCCGGCGAGAGAGCCCCGCCATGTATTTATCGCGCGCCATGAGGAGGAGGAGGAGGGGGTGCGCGCCGAAATGGCACGCCATAACGTATCCCTCCCCGCGACGGCCATCGTGTGTGTGTGTGTGTGTGTGTGTGTGTGTGTGTGTCTGTGTGTAAAGCACGTGCGTGCGCTCACAAACGTACACAAATGCCACGTTTTTACTGCGCCTCTTTCGCGCGCTTTGCTGTTTTATATTCCAGATTTTATTGACCCTGCCGGTCTGTTTCGTATTATATATATATTCGTCCGTTGCGCTGCTGTATGTGTTCCCCGTCGCGGATCGGTCGCGCGCGAATGTGTCGAGCTGCTGCGTATGTCACTACTCGCTCCTGCTCAGCTGGAGAGGAGCTAGGGGGTCGCGCGCGCCTGCCTGCCGCGGGGTTGCCAACAAACTGTTCGGCTGAGACGCGCGTGTGAGTGCTCTCTGCCTGTGACTCCCTCCTCAGCCAGGAGCGAGCACTTCACCACCACGACCATCACTGCTGCCTTCCGTCTGCCCTTTCTCCTGTTGGACAGGGGGTGGAGGGGGTGGGTGT